GAGTCACTATTGAATCTAGAACAGAAACATGAGATCGTCACAGCCATCAGTGTAGAAGTATTCCCAGAAGTTCTGCAGACTGAGCAGAAATACATAGGAAAATGGAGGGAAGCAATCGAGACGGAAATGAACATTAGACACAGTGAGACTTATTGTAGACCATCAGGAGCACGATATTTGGTGGGTTCAACATTGGCTCCAATGTACAAGAGCAGATACCCTGTACATTTCGTGGCTGTGGACGTAAAGAGTACGAGAACGATCGTGGATCAAGCCTTCTCAGTGCCGAAGTGTGTGAGACTGGCGAGAATGTCCGAGAAGTCATACGAGTTGCTATGTAAGATGTTCTCAGCAGTTCCAGAGAGAACCAAAGAAGAATTCGAGTCAATACTAGGAAAGAAGTTCATGGGAAATGTGAGCGGGAACTTCAGTGACTTTGAGAGACAGAAACAGAGAGGATCAACTGTCACAGATTACAATGCAGTAGATGAGAATGATGAAGTCCACCGAGTGATGATGGAAGTGGAACCATTGCTGGAAGCTTCGGGAAAACGTAATTGGAGGAGCATCATGTTGACACATGACGAGTTTCCTTGCCACTGCTTGCTGCAGACCTGGTGGTATCCCAAGCGTAGTAATCTGATGTTGATCTGGGACTCTGGAGAGCTGCTCTCCATGGGTTTACCGGATTCATCACAACCCATAACAATAGTGATAGTGGGAGTTATGATGGCGATATGATGGCTGGAAGCTCATGTGAGAGAAAATAACAGCCAAGAGGCACCGACGAGAGAACAGTTGCGGAAGTTAGATTGTCTAAAAGATTTAGATCTTTTTGAGACAATGTGCAAAGTTCTAAACATTCCGATAGAAGTGAAGAAAATAGGGGCAAGAAAACGATTGATGCCATGGTTCAGAGCTAACATGACTGCATGGTTGTACGAGTATGCTAAAAAGCATATGTCGAAGCACGGCAGGGTGTACAGTGAATATCAGCTGGACATTGGAGCAGGAGTTTTCAAGCGAGCTCTCGTGACTCATCGGAATGCAGTGACCACCGCTGTGAAAAGAATTTCCAGGACGAGTGAACGTAGTGGAAAGGAGAAGGCAGAGATGCTAAAGGAAGATTTGGAGAGAAACGTGACGTTGTGTCTCCACAACGGCTTCTGCAGGAACAGAGAATCTAACGTGGATCCCCTACCTTGTTGCAAACAGAGGGTAGAAGAGCAGAAGTGTTGGAGGACGGCTTCCAGCAGCGTCAGGATAGCTAACGACGTGTTGCAGGATGCGGAGACTGAGAGTGCAGAGTCAGTATCACAGGAGGAAGAAATGGAACATTGACGAATGACCGAAAAACAAGATGCAAAAAGAGATAAAATTAGAAGAATTTAGAAATTTTAGAACTTCTAAACGGTGAAAAAAGAAAAAAAACAAAGGAGTGATGAAGAAAAAGTTAAAAATCTGAATTGTTTTAATTGTGTGAAAAAACTAAAGTGAGAAACCAAGCAACCAAGTTGTAATTGAAAACTGAAACATTTAGTTGAGTTTTAAAATTGTTGCATTTATAAATTTGCATTTTGATTTTAGTTGAGTGGCTTTAGAGACACTCACTTACTATTTATTTAGAAAGGCTTAAGTGAAGGAGTATATTTAAATATTCCAGCCTACATGACTGTTTTTAATCAGCTAGGAGAACTGATCAATTTGTGGTGGCATGGAAGGCTTGGGTAATCTCTCGAAGAGGGAGATTGTTTCATTGTTCTTTCTAACCACAGAGTTTCTTAATTTTAATATTCAGGACAATAACAAGCAAGATTTCCGAAGGGAAGAAGCTTAGTAGGATAATTTTAGCTTGTTGGTTGGCAGGACTGTCCTGCAAACCAACACTTCTAAATCTAAGAGAAAAAGTTTTAACCGGGACATTGACATTGGAAGTCAGAAAATATGTTTTATCTTAAGTCATATCCTTAATGTGCAGATTAATGAAAGAATTTGAAGGCAATAGTGATGTAGTATGATGCCATTTAAATTCTGCAATGAGTCGATGTGACTTGGATAAAAGTAATTTCGTGCATTTTGTAAATTCTGTTCGTCTGTTCGATGACACTGTATCTATTTTACGAACATTGCGAACATTTACGAACATTTTACGAGGACATTCGACCAGAATGGAAAAATTGCAATCTCTGCAGTTTAGTCATTTTAGCAGCGAGCCTTCCGAGTTAGTGATTTTGAAGGATTAAGGACGTTATTCGAACGATTGAACAAAACGTGGAGGTTGAAGGATTCGGAAATTGCTAAATTTTAAATTTTCCAAGTGATTACGTAACATTTCTGAGAAACGTCAGAAACGGCCATTTTGGCAGAAAAGTGGAAGAAAAACAGAACAACATTAGTATCGATTGCGAGAAGAACGGAAATTGTGGTTAAGAAACGACAACAAATCACGGAGCTGACAGAGAACGTTCCGAGTTGCAACTATAGTGTCGCTACAATAGTTGCAAGGCCGTTGCGAACAACGGTGAAGGGTGGAAGACAGCCTTCCGGATTACGGAGAAATCAAGATTAACGTGCTTGATTCAGTGGATTCAAGAATCCGGAAGGGTTTCGGGACTGAAACTTTTATCCTTTTATATAAACTTTTAGCTTCTTGTTATGTCCTGAATTGAATTTAATTGATATTTGGATTAGTTTTGACAAGGATGAGGTGCTAAGAGTTGGGGGGGGGGGGGAAGGGTTGATCCATCTTCGATGGAGATGATGATTTTATCTACTGAACAAAAACAATAGTAATATAATAAAAAGTAGTAGCCCTGTTTTTAGGAGTGACCTCGTGGTCTGGGGATACTGAGACCCAGCCATGAGCTGACTATTTTTGCATGTAATTAAGTTAATTTGAGTGTTTTGACCGAAGCCGAAAGCAGTAACGTTTTTGTCGACCCGATGTTAGAAAAGACCACCGAAAGCACTGGCTTGGTAGAGAGGATGAAAAGCATATAAAGCTCTGTTTAGACGTTAGCCAGTCGTCTTAGGACTTAGTTTTATTTTCCGTCGATATGTATCTTCCGGGCGAATGTTACAAATGCAAATATTAAAATCTGATTCTTGATTCTAATTAAAGTCGAAGAAATTAGAATGCGAAATTTTTAAATTCTTACTGGATTCTTGATTCTATTCTTGATTCGCACTATTTCTGAAAAAAAGCGAATTTGTTGCCCAGTAAATTACGACCACATTGTCTTTGGTTGCTTTGCTTCATTGTTCAATTTTAAGTCATTTAGGTTATGCAGCAAAGTTGAGATCAAACTTTAAATCTGATCTTTGATGAATAATATAGCACATTGACATCAACGTTCGTTCAAGAAAAAACTAAAATGAGTTCTTCACTACTGAAATGAGATCTAATCCTATATGTACGCGTACAAATACATGGCGTGAATTCCATTTTCATTAGTTAATTTGCAATTATATGTTTCAATAATTTTCCCTTGTTACAATTTTTACTGGTGTACAAATAATTTATACTTCGCATTTTCATTTCTAAGTTGATAATTTTTTGATGTAATAATTTCAAATCCTTTTATTCAAACTTGCGTAACTAATTCAAATTTGTAACTAATATCACATTTACACTTTACTATACTAATGCATTCACTATTCTGCACAGTAATTAAATTTTGTCCTTCTGCTTCTTGCTCTTGACTTCGTTTTTCCTTTGTTTTTTTTTTTTTGAATTCGCTTAAAAAAAGTCCCCGACGCTCATTGTTCCAGCCTATTTTTATCGGCTTAATGACCTAATTTTGGGGCGTTCCATGGCAAATACAAATTGAACATGGAAAATTCTTTCCGAATACGATACAAAAAATTTCATTTTTTTATCAAAAACTACAGATTTTCAAAAATGTGCATTTTATTCTGTTCCAGCCTATTTCTACTCTGTTCCAGCCTATTTTTATCGGCTTAATGACCTAATTTTGGGGCGTTCCATAGCAAATACAAAGTGAACATGGAAAATTCTTTCCGAATACAATACAAAAAATTTTAATTTTTCTCAAAAACTACAGATTATCAAAAATAGTATCAATTGGAAGATTGTCTACTCTCCTGTGTGCCTCTATGCCCACATATAGTAAATTTTTTACGAAATTTGGACCCATTTTTGACTTCCGTTTCTCGAAAAATACCATTCTCAAATCTGAGTTTTTGGTTCAATTAATAGAACGGTTTCAACTTTTTTACACGTAAAGTTATGGCCTTCGGAATAGTCAAGTTTTTGATTTTTGACTGTTTTTAAGCTTTTTTGAGTATTCTCGAAAACTACCCTACCTTATTTAATATTTTTGGGTTCATTTCAAAGAACGGGTTGTGAAAAGCTTGTTTACGTATGCTGAGTATGCCCAGTTTGTTCAAGAAACAAGATATGGCCTTCAAACAAGTGGATGTTGTGAAACTTTGACAGTTTATTTGCAAATTTTTTTTACGTATCGCGAAAACTACCAACTGTTTCAATCGAGAAACCCGGTTTTGGGAATCTTTTCTGCTTAAGCGGCCACAACCTGCTCTTTGAAAGAAAAATTCAATGATTTTGGAATTCCCTTGACCGTTTTTTTAGAACTTTTGACCGCTGTAAAGAATTTTTTTTTTGACACAATCAAGTCTGAGATAAAAAAATTCAACTGAAAGAATTGGTTCCGATAATGGTTCCTGCAAAAGCGGAGTCATATCTTGCTAACTATTTCCCCCCTTTCGATTTTCAGAAATTCAACTAAGTAGTGATTAAGTCCAAATACGAACGCGCGAAAAAGAAAACCCTATTAATTTTCGACATTTTGGAATGCATTTTTTATACAGAAATGGTTTTCAAAAAATACGTGCATAAGGGGGATAGTTAATAAGGTCCAAAAGGGAGGGGGGCACTTATTTAAGTAGAGAAACAACAAGGTTTTGGGCAAAGTCCAGATTTTGAATTAAAATTTTTCGTGCACCTCAGTATAGCAAAAGCAAATTCATTCAATACCAAGCAAATACCTCCAGCTGAACCCTCTTTTTAAAAAATGATTTTTCAATTAATAACTCAGAAAAAGGGAAAACGGCAAAGTTTACTGATTGGGAGACCACCAGTAAATGCTGGAAATGAGGTAATTTAATATTCTTTTCTAACTACATGAACGTTCATTTACTCATGGTATATGCCAAAAATCACACAGATAGCAAAGAGGCTCTTATTTTTGTAGTTGATAGTGAACTGAGTATCAAATTTAGGCTCCCAGAGACACCTGCTTGACATGCGAACGTCCTGGTTTTTGATCTGTCCGATGGATACCATGACAATAAATTTGTATCTTGGAAATCCCATTTGTAGCAGCTGGTTTTTAATATAGTCGGAAAACTCAAGCGACATTTCTTTAGTTTCCTGCCCTGTTTCTGAGTAGGATATGTTCTCGAGTTGTTCGTCAAATAGTGCCTGAACCATTGCCGTAATCTTCCCTCTGCATGATGCTAGTCTGAAGAAAAATAATTTGGCAAATTGTACAAATAAGCTAATTGTGAACCTTTCGACTTTTTTGTGCTAATATTTGTTTTTAACGTTCTCGTTGATAACGCTCTTGGAACAAAAAGTGAGTCTTAGCTTTGTGAATTGCCATTTTTATGCGTCCTGGAAATAACCAATGGTATTTCTAATAACCAATGGCAACCAATAACTAAGAAGAAAATACTGTACAAGTGTGATAGAGGGTCCCAAGAAGCTAAAAGGGTCTCCTAACGGACAAATATAAAGATTTTATGAATGATGGATATTTCCAAATAAGCTCTTTAAGAACTTAAGCACGTGTACCGAGGAACCCAGGGCAGATAAGATAGTATTCTTAAGCAGAAAGTCTCCATCGCAATACTGGTTGCGAACGCTGCCTGTGTACTCGGCACTATTAATTATAAATCTACTTCCGAAGAATTTTTCTTATTAAAGAGCTAAGGGAACAAAAGTGAAGCTAAGTATAAGTATCTGATAGACCCGTAGCCTCATATCAGGTCAGTCTTTTCGATTGTCTTTGAACTCCGGTTCGTTCTGTGCAGGTGTAAGTTTTCTCAATCTGTTTGCCTTGTTTCCCAACCATCTAACTCTCTTTACTTCTATTCACGTTATACTTTACTCTCCCATATCTAAAAAAATTCCTATGATTTCGTGGGGAATATGCGATAAAGGGACTCCTGACTAACCTTGGTTACTGTGATACTTTTACCTTCTGATTATTATTGTTCGTGGGCATTAATTAAATAGAAATTAATAGAATTTTTGGGTATTAATTTTAACCTGAATTGTAACATGAAATTTTGGAACCGAAGGTGAAATTTGCTTTGGTTAATCCTTTAGCTGTCTACCTAAAACGGTACAAGTATGATAGAGGTTCCCAAGAAACTAACATGGTCTCAAATGTAAATTTAGTGCACATTGAATTTGTTGCCTCGGTGATCACAATCTATTATATATTTAAATGCGGGCTCAACTATCTCGCCATGCTTAAGCTTTTTCAATATATATTTTTGCATGATTAAGAAAAAAAAGTTTTTACGTTTAATCTATGTCGTATATTGCAATGGTTCAGATTTTTTTTTCGGTTATCCTGTTTGAGTTCAGTGTTTATTTCGCCAAGTTTGAAATTAGCGACCCAATAGTAGGATGCTGCCACGGTGTACCCTGGTGTTGAGATTATGGCCTCCATATATGTGAATAATCCTTATAGGTTACGTGATACAGCTATTTTCGAGCATTTTCAAAAATTTCTAGAAAACTTAATATTAAAAAATTTCTGAAAATTTGAAATTCCCAACCCTGTAGTTGGGGGCTGTCAGGATACTCTCGAGGGTTGCGTATCTTGCCTCCAAATCTTAGTTCTCGAATCCTTGTAATTTTCGAGATATGACGTTTTATATGATTTTTTCAAAAAGTTTAATCCTGTATATGGGAACTGTGAGGGTACTCTCAGAGTTGCGAATCTTGCGTCTGAATGTGACTACTCAAATCTTTGTAGTTTTCGAGAATTGACGTTTTTTAGGATTTTTTTCAAGCTTTTTAAAAAAAAAATTTAAAGTTCCCATTTCGATAGTAAGGCTTTTTCAGCGTACTCCCAGGAGTTGCGAATTTTGCCTCCAAATATGACTGCTCAAATCCTTGCAGTTACGAGATATGAAGTTTTTTTGTGATTTTTTTTTCAAAACTTTTTCAGAAAACTTAACTTAACTCTGTTTTCATAATTTTAAATTGCTAACCCTGAAGTTAGGAGTTTTCAGAGTAATCTCAGGGGTTTGAGAATCTTGCCTCCAAATAAGGCTGCTCAAATCTTTGTACTTTTGAGATATGACGTTTTTTGTTTTTCAAAACAATTCAGAAAACTTGAATTTACTTTTTCTTCCAAGTTTGAAATTCCTAACCCTTTAGTTGGGGGCTGTCAAAGTACTCCCAGCGGATGCGAATCTCGCATCTAAATACGACTTCTAAAGTCTTTCAAACTTTCGAGATGTTAAGCTTTTTATATGGTTTTAGAAGTTTTGGTTTTAGAAAACAAATTTGATGATTTCTCAGTTTGAAATTCCTAACCATGTAGTAAGGTTTTGTGACTACTCTCATTATTTGCAAATCTTGCGTTCAAATGCGACTGCTCTTTTGTAAAAACTTTGCAAAATTTGAAACTATCAAACCTGTAATTTGGTGCTGTCAGGGTACACTCAAAGGATGCAGATCTTACTTTCAATAATTGCGGTTTTTATGAGATGTTAAAAATTCGAAGCACCGGAGGTGCGTTTCACGCTAGTTTAAGCATGAAATAAGTTCGAGCAGATGAAGCTGGTGAATTAAGCTTGACAGGCTTAAAAACGATCGATCGAGTGGCAGCCATTATACAGCCATAATATAGAGCATCTATAAGATAATTCTACACAAATGAGGTAGCTGAATATATTTTGAGAAAGAATTTTCGGAGGTCTGAGTTTCTGGGAGCTGTTTTGGGAGTTTTTTTCTATATTATTTTGAATTGTCACAAATATTTGGGCTTTTGGCTCTTTTGTTTTTCGAACTTTTTTTCAATAAACAGCTTTTTTCAATAACGTGCTAGAGGTAAAGATAGTTAACCTATAGCTTTCCATGTTGATCGATGGAGGTCGATGTTTCAATTCTCAGCCGTAGCTTTCGTCGAAACAGCTCAATAGTTTTTTTAATCTTGAGTTTCAAGTTTTTGCTAACGAAAACATTTGTTTTTCGGCGTAAGTTGAGTTAACACTTCATTGTACTGTCGGCATTGTCACCGCTTCTTGAATATATGACAGCAGATTGATTTTGATTTTCAAAAGAGAAGGAAAGAGAGCCTATTAAAATTTAGCCCAGTCAACTGTTCAATAAAATCAGTTCCAATTGAAAAGTGTTTATAAGAAAATCTTTAACTTAAAATTGTTTTTGATGAAATGGTTTTTCTGTGAAGCTAAAAAGTTAATTTTTCAGTGAAGCTATAAAAAGTTTTTTGAAGGTCTAAAAAATTGTTTTTTGAAGGTCTAAAAAATATATTTTTTTGAAAGGTTTTTTTTGACCTCATTGGTACTTGTAAAATGTCTATTGGCTGTGCTTACCTGTTAGTAGGCTCTAGGCGAAAAGTGTTTTCAAACTCGATATGCTGTGTTGACCTCTCGCCTTGCTCCTGTTTCGGTCGTGGCTCTACAATGTTCGTTGTTTGATACCTAAACAAAGAGAAGACCATGAAATTTAATTTTGTGTTGCTCCACATGTGCAATTACAACTCAAAATGTAATAATAGGTAGCAAAAACTGATAATAAATTGAATTATTTAAAAAGAGCAATCTGCCAATTTTGAGAAATTTATACATGCAACCGATGAATTTCTAGTTGACTTTGAGACATACTTTCTATCGGAAAAATTAGCGTTTGTTTGCAAAATTTATCTGAAATAGGGCATTTTCTCTTAAATTACTTTTGCATGTTTCAACTATTTGCAACTCTTTACATATCTGAAGTATGTCTTAAAACAATGTGAAGACATAGTGAACAGACCTGCCGATGGCGTGAATTGCGTCTCGTTTCAGTCGGATTACTCTAGCGAACTTCTTCGTTGCCAGTAGTCCCCGAATACTGCCGACTCCGTTGATGCCGCCGAAGGCCGCAAAGTTAATGCTGCTCATTCTGCAATGTTATTATAACAGTATGCTTTGAGTAAACAAAACTCCCGCTAAGATTTTTTTGAAGCCTGGTTTCAAAATTCCAATCGACGAGAGGAGAAAACGTTTGTATGGTTAATAACGGAATACAACAGAGCCTGTTCTTTTTCAGCTGAAAACGTTTTATTTTCTACTTAACTGACGTTGGTGTGTTAATAATTTTATTGAACGTTTTAATTCTGGTGCCGAAATCGGTTTTCTAACTGGAAAATGTTCCGTCGCGACTCTGTGCGTGATTGTGAAACGATGATGTTTCGGTTATGATTTCTGCAGGTGCTTAAACCAGTTATTCAAACCAGTTATTTGATTTTGGAGAAAAGCAACGTGGTAACTAAAAACAATTCCCTGCCATGCCAAAAACCAAAATCAATCCCTGTATTGAAAAACAAGATGAAAAATTTAAAATACTGTTGCTAAAATACGCAATTTTTTATTAACTGAAATGATAAGTTAACGAAGCATGTTGCTGCATAAATGTTGTTCTTAAAAGTTTCAGATTAAACCAATGATTAATCATCCAATAATTTTTGTTTTCGATTGACAGTTATAACCATATACATGTTTTTCAGGTGTTGTTGTGTGTATGTCTAATTTGGATGACAACCACTGTGAAGCTGTAAAAAAGGACATTCCTGCAAAACATGCAACCCCTACAGTAGGACCAACAACTGCATTGAGTGATGCTGCATTTTCAGGTAGGGCTTCGGAAAAAGTTGTAGTCGCACTAATTCTTATGAATATTTTTCGCTGTTAGCTCCAACCCCCACCTTTCCTGTTGCCGATTGCAAAAGGGGGTTAATTGTTACAAGGTATAACATTCACATGATGATATTGATAATATGATCAACCATTGAATTAGTTCTTGATAGGGATGGCAATTATGTACTAGGTTCCATAGGGGGGGTAGTTCACAAGATCCGATTTTGTTAACACCCCACCCCAGATTGTACCTAGCAGCAAGTATCCATCTTCTAATTAAATAAATTATAAATTAATAATTGCTTAACGTTTACGATAAATTGTTTAACCCTGTAACGAATCCCCTCAATCCTTTTGCAAATGCGAATTTTGTTAACAAGATTTAATTTGTTCTGACCATTTGAAAATTGGGGGTGGAACTTTCTTTTCGGGTGTATTTTGGTTTTTTCTTTTTGTTTTTCTCGCAAAATCAGGTACCACAAAAATTTATTGAAATGGCTCGAGTGATGTATCATATAAAAGCTCTTTCAATCGTGATTCGAACGACATTAAAAAATTTCCGAAAGTCTTTTCCGAGTTGAGAAAAACATGTTAAAAAATTTTTAGTCTAAATTCGTCCCAAGAATGCGAGCGAGCAGGTTTACAGAAGATTAATTTAGGCCGTGAAAAATTAATTTTACTCAAGTAAATTTGGGCTCTTTTGCGCCCTTTAGCTTTTTTGCGCCATTTAGAAATTAAAAATCTCAAAAACTCAGCTTAATTCAGGCCATGAAAACTTAATTTTACTCAAATAAAGCTGGATTTGGAAGTTTTTTTAGCACCATTTAGCGACATTTTTTAAATATAATTTTTTGATTCAGACATTTTTCTACAAAAAAGTTGTCCAATTTGCTAACCTTTTTTTATACGGCCGGAACATTTTGCGCTGCTTGCAAAGTGACCGGCTATCCTTGTTTCTTTTTTTGTTTGTTTCTTTGTTTTTTCTTTCGTTCTCTTTCTTCTTTCTTTCTTTTTGGTAGCATTGAAATGCTATGCAATGTTTTCAGGCGTGCACAGTTTAGCCCACCAGAGTTCAGATAACCGAACGAGAATGTCAGATGTACATGCTATTACCCAGCCGGTCTCAAGTAGGCCAAATGAACAAGAGGATGAAGGTGATAATATTAATCACGATGGCTGCTCCCCCAGTGCAGCCAAAGTGCCCAAGAAGGGCATTCTGAAGAATAAAGACACGTCTCGACACCACGCAGCCGATGCACCCATTAGGTTACTGTTTCTACAAATATTTCAAGTTTCTAAATATCAATAAAAGTAAATCAATAAATATCAAAAGTTGTACAGAATGTTGCAGAAAGTTAAGCGATTCAAAATCAAGGAAAGTTGAAAAAAAAATTAAAAATCGAAAACTTTCAAAAATCGAAAAATTTCGAAGACATTTTCCCATTTTTCTAGACAGTTGAAGCGGTTCAATTCGATGACAAAGCTACACACGAATGAGGCGCTCATTGTAAAAAAAAATATTAGAATTGAAGTATAATTAGGAAGTTTAGTTATCTCTCATTCACCCGTGAAAATTATGAAACGGAAAAACGGAACCATATTAACTGAGATGTTTTTTTCAATTTATTTGTTGAAGTTTGAATCACGAGTTTTAAGACTTCAAAACGATTTAAAAAACCTAACCTACGAGCTTCACTTGAGGCGCCTGAAATGAATAAACTCACCCTACACCCGTTACTTCATGAAACTATGTTAGAACAAGAGTTTTTGGCTGCTTCGCCGTCCAAATAGCGTAGAACTTCTGACAACTTGGGTATTTGCAGCAATTTTTGATGAGAAAAGCAAAAAAAATTGAGTTCTCGGGTTTTCATCGTGGTTAAACTTCATACTGTACACAAGAGAAGAAAAGAAGTAGCTTTATTTATTTTTGTTGAATCTTTGGGTTTGAAAAATTCAATCTTCCTCTTGATATTTTCGATAAAGAGGGCCGAATTTGAGGTTGCTTTTTTTTTCATTAACTACCTATGAATGTTTAGGTTTGACGAGATGAACATTTTGCAGACACTGCATCCACCGAATAAAGACTATGGCCACATGAAGATAGACGAACCCAAAACGCCATTTGAAAGAGGATCGATTCCAGACGATAACGATGATAATGAAGGTCTGTGTAGCTTTCGTCCACTATTTTGCTATAGGAAGGAAAAATGCGTAAATGTGTGTTCATCACATCATATTACCCTAGCTATGGTTATTTCAATAAAGAACGTTTTTCGAAGTTTGCTCAGACTAAAATTACACTGAATCGATTTCGTTTGAATCCGTTTTTCTCAAACTTTCTCCCGTGCTTTGAAGACGCAACAAAGAGTATTTTTCTAATATCGAGATTAAAAAATTACACCGATGGGGGATTGAAAAGAAGCATATTGGATATAGATATTAAAAAATTGGAAAGCAACAGCTTCGCTTCCCTTGTGATACAACGCTAGCATAGTATTGCAATCTAGCGAATAGGAAATGAAGCGAAGACCAATATTAGGAAAAAAAAATTTGAACTGTTTTGAAAAATTATATCTACAAGAGTTTCATGAATTTGTCGCGATAACTCGATTGATGTCCAATTTCTGAAAAGAACAACCGATAAACACGATCAACAGCGTAAAACGATCTTTCATAAATATTTACTGAACGGCCATTTAGCCAAGAACACTTGGGTAGACGCAGACACTTGTTGAACCCATTGAGCCGAAAACAAAGTTTTGTTATCATTGAAAGTTCTGAACTATCAATTTTGAAAACTCAAAAACGCCCCCACTTTTTTGAAACTTGTCCTCCTGAAACGTATAAAAGAAAAAATCTGTTTTTGCTCTTGAAATTTTGATATCAGGAAAGGGGAAGAGTTGAACACGCATTTTATATAAAAATGATTAGGTTTAGATTTCGAGTAAGCCGTGAGTATAGAAGAAGTTGTTCACAGTTTTGCAACTAATTTAGCAAAAGTTTAGAGATTTTAATACATTATAATTAATTTTAATCAATTTTAAATGGATTAATTACACTTGCGAAGCAATGTGTTAATAGTACGAGCTTTTTTTTCCAGCCTAAGTCGCAAATATTGTTGCGACTTTTGTTGCGACTAAGTCGCAATTTTTGTTGCGACTTAAAGCAACATTATTGGCTGCGTCGAATTGCCAATGATAGTTTGATATTTTGTTGAACCACACAGCTTATTGATAACATATGCTATGATTTTCGAATAGTTACACAGTTGATGCATTTTTAGTTCATGAAGTGAATCGAAGAAAGCTGTTTGTTTCAAACAATATAACAATAATAAAACCTCGATTTCAGAAATTTTCTAACTCATTATATCTCGCAATTTTTTTGAAATGCATAATTTATACATAATGTGGCTTTATGATTTGCAATTTTTTTCATGCAAAATTGTATCTTTTTGTACTTGATGCTACTTTTGCTGGATTGAATTGGAAATATATTAGCATTTGTAGCTGTGTTTTTGTTGGCTAGTTTTTGGGGATTTTAAGCATCCGTGGCTGAATGGTTAGTGCGTGAGATCGGAGATTTATGCTAATTGGAGTTTTTGCTAAGCCTCGAGTTTTTGCAAATTCGAGGCTTATTTTTACTTTTTCTTTTGGCACTTGATAGAGCTGCTTTTCGGTCGTGTTCTAGCAAGTGTTTGCGAATCGCAGCTTCCCTTCTGTGTCTATTATTACGCTTGTGATCAGCAAGCGTTATCAAACTGAAATTTAGACTTTTTTCTAGTTAACAACTAATTTGACAAAATCAGTTGAATCACTTGCTGAATATGAAGCTGACTCCTTTTCACTTCTCTTTCAATATCTTCCAGGTTGCTTCCCCCTTCTCCTGGACGTAAAGCAGTTGCCTTTGTACCTTAAGGTCTGTGGTTGGAGTCGTGGTCGGACCTTGTTTTTTTCAGTATCGAGGAAATTGGGAAAAAAATGTCCGAGAAAAATCAATTAATGGTTTTTCGGCTTTTGCTCGTGCTGTAGACAATTTTCATTGTAGTTGCAAGTACAAGTGCTGTTCATTCTAGATTTAAGGGGGACTTAAAAGATTTAAAAAATCACAATTTTTTTTTCGGTTCAAGTGGTTTAAGCTGAAAGATTATTGACTTAGTTGCCAGATAACTGATTTTTCTTGTGCTGTAAACAATTTTCATTGTAGTTGCAAGTGGAAGTGTTGTCCATAGTTGTTTAAGGTGGGACTTCAATTTTTTTTTGTAAAAGCAGCTTTTTTCATCTCAACTTGTGTCTGCTCAAAGATGGTCGGCTTTGTTTCTTTTCGTAAATTTTGTTCCGTTGAAGCTGATTTAAAATTCAAGTGTCGGGCATGTTTGCCTGGAATGAACATCTATAGAAATATAAAAGTTTTTATGACTTAGTTTTTTTTTCAAACATTTTCTTTTTTTCGGCTTTTCATGTTTTTTTCTTAGGTTTATGCTGTATCGCAAGTGGTGCGAAGCAAGCCTCTGTCTAATGAATTTTAATGAGGTTTGTCTTTACGAAAATAATCGATTCTAAAGAAAAGATAATTTCTTTAATGGTCTAAATCTGCAACATTCATGGATTATAATGACAACATTTTTGCAAAATTTTCCCATTATAATCGATTTTTATCCATAAACTCCGGTGCGGGAATTCCAATTTTGAGATTTCTAACTAAAGTTTTTTTTTATTGGACGGGAATATTTTTTCCTGATCATAAGTCTTTTGTTTTCTCGCACCAAATTGTTCATTATCATAGAATGAATAAATAGCCAGCGCTTGTTTTTAATAAGAATAACTTGTTTCAAGCGTCTAGTATCATTCATTTCAGTTAACAATTTTCGCGTTAAGCTGTTTCATTTGCTTACTTTTTAACCAGCACGTTTACTAACTTAAAAGCGCATTAACTACTGCATGTTTATTAGCTTAGTATACTAGGAAAAAAAGATGATTGAGAGACAGGCAATCGAAAAAAGAGACTGGCAATCAGATTTCTTTCTTATCAAATTGTCATTAAGCAAATATTTTTGATATTTTTAAAATTTGGTTACCTGGAAAGGTACATCAGCTTGATGTTGAAACAAAAACTAAGGCCGAACTAGTTGAGAATTTATACAAATTTGGATAATTTTTGGGAGAGTTTTAATGAAAAACTGAGTTGCTTAATTTTGTCCGGTGAGTGATTAAAGTGATATGTTTATATCGCCGAAATTGTTCGCTTAATTATCCACTTAGTGGCCTCACTAGCTTGTCTGTTTACTGCTATGTAATCATGAGGTTGTTTGAAAATTGATTTTTTTAGGGGTCAGTGCTGTTTTTTTTTCTAGCTTCTCTTCATAATTGAGTTTTTGGGTTTGTCTTTCGCTCATCTGGTTAACTATGATCGCGCTCCCGGTGTATGATTTCACCTAAAAGGGGATGCTTCCAGAAAATTGCAAAATATATCATTACTGAGGAGCAAACCAGAAACCGGTTGCTTACGAACAGCATGCAAAGGCCGTTAACAACGCAAGTTAGTTGTTCTGAAAGCCATTACCAAGTTAGTTTTCTTTTGCTGGTAGAAAGTTTGATTTGAATTCAATATCTTTATCTTATCGTAGAAATAAACAATCCCCATTCAAACCAGACGGGGGGAGGGCATTGTAAAAAGTTTACGATGATTTAAAAACTGATTTAGTAGTAGCAAATTGGAGCCCGGTAGTTCAACGCCTGAAAATAGTTTTTGGGTTGCTTCCTTCTATGGTTTACGTTTACGCTTTTGAATACAAAGTTATCGCCCTCGGAAAAATCAAGTTTTTGATTTACTGACCCGTTGTTTGTTAACTTTTGAGTTTTCTCTCATATCTGATGTTTTGGGTTCAATCCAAAGAACGCGTTCTGAGATAGTTTTTTGGAACTTTTGGACTTTTATCGATAATTAATCGGCCGAATCTGATATCAATAATTAAAAAAAGGCGACAGGTTGTGAGAAGCCTACTTTTTTAAATGGTTGCACTCAATTTTGTTTTAGAAAAAGTTATGGCCTTCAAAAATGTCAAAGTTTATTGGAGTTTTTTTTTACTTTACTCGAAACCTACCGAGCCTTTTCTCAAGTTAAAGCTTAATCGAGAAACCTGGCTTTAAGAGTTGTCTATATTTTAGCGGCCACGAATTGCAGACTTATTAGCGGCCACGATTATGCTTCTTGCAGAAAAAAAGTCATGGATATCGGAAAGTCCCGTTTTTTAATTTTTTTTTTGGTTTTTCTTAACTACTTTATCAAATCTGAGATGAAAAGTTCGATTGAAAGAGCCGGTTGCGAGAATTTTTCCTGCAGAAGTGCCGAATCCTTACTTTGTACAAAATTTTTTATGTATTTGGTAAAATTCCATATCTCAAAAATTTTCACTTTTCTCACTTATGAAATAACTAAGGTTTTGGGAAAGTATAGTTTTCGAAATTACGCTTTTCACCTGCATCACAAGCAGATATCGCCAGCTCAAGCTGGGTTGTAGTTTCTTTTTATCGAGAAATACGAAAATTTTGATTTCCCTAGGTTTTTCAATATTTTCATTTCTTTCGTTTTATGTTTTTTATATCGCAAGTGGTGCGAAACTCCGCTTCGCCTGTGTATGATTTTGTAACCATCATTTGAGACATTGATTCTTTTCTTACAACTACTACTTCTACTACTACAACAACAACTAACACTAATTAAATGGCGCGCTTTGTGAGTGCTTTCATCTATACAGTGTTTGCCGTGTTTCATTTCTAAAGGGTTTGCGCTAGTATAGATTTAATTCAATTTTCAACTAAGTAGCATACCTAGCTATATCCGCTTTATTCTAAGAAATAAAGCAGCAAAAACTGATTTTTATTTAAGTATACGCAAAACCACGACGAAATATGGGAGTGGTTAAGACAAGCCATTCTTTGGTAGGATGTCCGAAAGCGAATCCCGTACTTATGGAGAATTAAATCAGTTTTTGAAGTTTATTTTCTTTCAAAGCACATTTCTTTCAAATTGCAGTTGTCCTATTTGTTTTTAGTGCCGTTTTTGGTGGTTTGCGAAGTACAGCTTCACCTACGTGTAATGTCTACGGTCATCAAAGTACCTTTCCTGTTATATTGAACCGGTTATTCCTTTGATCAAGCTGCTTCTTTTTCTTTTTTTTTGCTCAACCAAAAATAGATCGAGACTAATTTATTGAGATTTTTCATAATCAATTATTTTTGAATTGTCAATTATTCAGAGCGCTGACGTACTCGTCATGACGATATCTTTGTAAATTTATCAAAAAATTCATTCCTACACAAAAATTTTTTCCATTCGGGAAGAGTTGTTTCGTAAAATTTATCCAAACGGATAGAGCCAAACATTAATTAAGGTAAAAAAGCGTGTCAGAAATGTGAAAAACTAGAATGTGCAATTTAAAAAAAGCAATAATATGTGAAATGCCAAAAGTGAATCAGAATTTAAGTTCAAACTAAATCGATAAAATTTGTTTCAATCGATTTCATTTTTAGTTTGTCTTGTAAATGAAGCGTTGATTTTTGTAGAGTGATTTATCTGTTAAAAGCAACACTGGTTTTTTGCAGCTGGGGGCAGTTTTATAGATGCAGTCGGCTTAGTTTTTAAATCTTTATTGCTTCAATATGAATTCGTTGCCAAGTTTTGTTAATACCATTATGTTGGCAATATTTAATACTTTTATCGGTCAGAAAAAAAAAAAACGATTTTCGGGTTGATAAAATCTTAGACGTTTGTTTTTAGGGGTGGTTGTTGACCCTAAGGAGCTTGCAGACAGACTGGCTTCAGTGAAAAGAAGACACTCGTCAGAAGATATGGCTACAGACATACCACCAACAGATGAAGACGATGAAGATGAAGAATTAGACACACCAGAGAAAAAGGAACAGAAGAAGAAATTCGAAGGTAGTTTTGATAATGATTGAACAATCTGATGAATAAATAGTAAGTTTTTAAAACAGTTGAAATGAATTGGAATAGTTATAAGTTGGAATAGTTATTATATTACTATTTTGTGTATTGAAGTTTTCTCTTCAAGTTGGTGATTTTTGGCAGATGCCAGGAAGAAACACTATAACGAGTTCCAGCGAATCCAGGAGGCCAGGAAACTCATGCAACAAGAGGAAGAAGACGATGAAGACGAGTGAATATTTTCGGTAATACACTCAAAATATCTGGACATTTGAAACCCTTTTCTCGAAGCCCAGAATCTTTTTCAGTTTTTTTTTCATCGCAAGTTTTTTTAGACAAGTTTTTTTTCTTTGATCGCAAGAGATAAATTATTTAGTTTGACAAGATCGCGTAAAACCAGCGTCATTAAGCTCTTGCTAACTTGCAAGAGCTCACCTTGCGAATTGCAGCACAGGTGCGATTTGAACCTGGCCCTCAGATTACAAAAGTGCATTTGGTGCAAAAAAATGATTGACTTTTTGGTTCGCAATGGATTTTGATTGTTAAGTTTCCATAAGGTATAAACACTACCTATTGGTTCAGTTTTCTCTAGCTGGGCTAGTTTTATGAAAACAGAGAGAGGACTGCTAAACTCAGTTCTGAGGTTCTGTTTTGGTAAATAGAATTTATTTAACTTCTGTGTGGTGGCCTTTTTGTTACGTAGGCAATTTGATAGCAACTGTAGTTGTATTATGTGTTGCTAGGTTAGTACTTTTTCCATTGATCGTGAAGCACTTGCGAGGACGTAAGACTCCTCGTCTCCAAGTTGGAAATTTGATTTTACCACACCAAATTTTCAGTTTTTACGGTTTACTTTTGTTTTTCTTTTCGTTTTTTTTATCTGTTTAGTTGGCTTATGCCGTTTTCATGCTTGTGTGAGCGAAGCCAGCTTCACCTATGTTAAGTTTTCGATTCAGCTTCAAATGTGCCGATTGGGTTTTCAGTTTCACCGAATATCACAAAGAAATCATTTAATCAACAAAACAGTTATTTTTTTTAGTTCGCACGAAGACAAACTCACAAAAAATTAACGATTGGTCTCGAAATTCATCTAATTTACGTTCATTTATAACATTTTGAGACAGTTTAAAGGCCAATTTTCAAATTATTCCGAAAGTTTAATTTTCTGATCAGTTTTCCTTCTGCTTGTTTTCACTAATAAGTTTTTTATAATCAATGGAATAGGATGTGCAATAGAGATCCGTGACGTTTCTTTTCAGGTCAATTCTGCAATATATATTGGAAATAATATGCAATGTTTTAGTAATTTTTACCTTAATTCTTTATATTTGGTATCGCAAGTGAAAGAAAGCTCGGCTTTGACACAGCTAATATTCGTTGAGCATAATTAGCTTTGCAATTAGATAGCGTAATCAAATCGAAACGTATACTTTTCTATGTAAACAACTGTCTGACAATATCACAGAAGAATTTTCTCCAATTTGCATTTTCATCAACAAACAGGTATGTTTTGAGCATGTCTGCATTTTCATGCCCGTTTTGTTCGAAATTTTTTTAATGTTTTTTTTCCTCTAAGAATAATGAACTCAGTCAGTACTCGTATATAGGCCTTGCTGATTTTTTTGTTTTGGTTTTTCATGAAAAAGTCTTAACATTTTTTCACGCTCAATTTTGATTTCTCGCGGTTTGACTTCTAATTTTTTTCAAGTTCTTTGCATTTCCATTATTAAGAGGAAAGGCAAATTCCACTATCGAACAGCAAAAATGTTAAGGTCACGAAAAACGTGATCGACTTCTAATTTCGAAAATGGAAATTAATTATCAGTTTTCCCAGCGAAATGAAATTTTTGCCTATTGATCCAGTTTTCTCAAATTGTTTTAATTTTAACACAAAACATTTCATCATAAATTGTTCTACAATATCAAAGAGCTTTGAGGCCATCTATTTTTTTCTTCGAGAAATTTAAAAATTGGAAGGTTTTTGAAAAAACAAATCAGTTTTTTTTTTCAGTTTCCTTGCGTTCATTACTCTTTTCCAACTTTTAGTTGGCTATGTTTTGTTTTCTGTTCCAAAAAGTTAACATGAGCAAAAGAGAAGGAAGGCAAACTCCACTATTATTAAAAGGAAGGCAAACTCCACTATCGAACAGCAAAAATGTTAAGGTCACGAAAAACGTGATCGACTTCTAATTTCGAAAATGGAAATTAATTATCAGTTTTCCCAGCGAAATGAAAGTTTTGCCTATTGATCCAGTTTTCGCAAATTGTTTTAATTTTAACACAAAACATTTCATCATAAATTGTTCTACAATATCAAAGAGCTTTGAGGACATCTATTTTTTCTTCGAGAAATTTAAAAATCGGAAGGTTTGTGAAAAAACAAGTCAGTTTTTTTTTTCAGTTTCCTTGCGTTCATTACTCTTTTCCAACTTTCAGTTAGCTATGTTTTGTTTTCTGTTCCAAAAAGTTAACATGAGCAAAAGAGAAGGGCTTTTTTATCGACTTGAAGGGCGTCTGCTCAAGATTTGGCTTTGTTATTGCTTCGTAAGTTTTCTTTCGATGCTAATTCAGCAAAATGAGCTTTTTTGTCTCATTTTCTGACGACTGGCTTGTCATGTTGCGTTTGCGCTGTATTGCAAGTGGTGCAAAGCTTCGCTTCAAATTTTTGTATTTTTTCATATCGTTTTCGAAATCTGAATAAAGACTAAATTGGTTTAAATCTCAACCCCTTTCGATGCTGGAAGTGCTTGTTTAGTCGTACCATAAAGTCCTATCTTAGGTCATAATTCCGTTCCACTCATCCAGAGGGATGGTCAATGGGAGTATTTGTTGTTGCTCATGTGGGCACAGTTGACCGAAGTTCGATTTGATAAGAAAAAAATAAGTAGAAGCGTAGTTTTCGAGATTTGGGTTTGTTTTGTGTAAAAGTGTACAACAATTCCGACTTCGAGGGCATTTTTTTCAAGTTGTGCTTGAAATGTTTTTCTATCCTATTTGTCATCTGCCTAGTTATTTTTTCAAAAAATTTCATGGACAGACAGGAAAATATTTGAAGCAGGGTTTCAATAAGATTTATTACGCAGACCCTTGCCGGTGCCCTATTTATAGCGGTAAAGGACTCCCTCATTTATAGTGGTCGGAGCAATGAAATTTTTTTTTATCTTTTAGTCAATTTTCTGAATTAATTAGTTTTTCCCAATTCTTTTGTTAAATTAGCTAGTTTTTTAAAATTTTAATGACATACATTTTTGTTTCAGTGTTTTGTTTGTTTTAGGAAACAGATGACGATGTACCCTGTCAATTGAAGTGCCATTATGATGCTGATTAATTCTACGACTGAAAGTGAAGAAAATGATAAATGATTTAGTTGTTGACTTGTGCTTTTAATTTAATCGCTTTGTTTTAATTCTTTTCGCGTTTGATACTATTCTGCTAATTCAAATTAACTTTGTAGTTTCAAACACTTATTTGGCATCTTCTTGTAGAAATTAATTGTTCCGACTTATGAAGTAAACGATATGTTTTGATTTAATTTTAGCTGTTGTTCGTTACTTGGAAATGGAGTATGGTTAGTTTTATGGGATTATGTTATGTGGGTCATAATAATCCGCAAGATAGAGCTTCGGTAGAGACGTTGAATACAAAATATCAATTCTGAATTGAAAAATTTCTGAAAAAAAAAACTGAAATTTGAACTTATTTTTATCTAAATAATCTCTTTATTCCATTATTCTTTCTGTGAAAAGTATTCTGCTAAAAGAGTTTTAGAATTTTCCCGGCTTAAAGTTTTCTGATTTGACTTTTGTGTTTATTTGTGTTGTTTTCTTTTTAAATTGTTCTTTTTTGATAAGATTTTTTTGCGACTTTGAAGGTCGATTGTTTGGTACTGATATTCTCTTTCCCTTGAATTGCGGTTAAAGCAGGTCGAATGACCGCGCGCGAGTTATTTGCGTCACGATAGCAAATCTAAATTAAATGCTTGAGGTTTATGACGAGTTCATGCAAATGCTATTGATTCCGTAGTATATTTAGGCATATTGGATTTTTTCGGCTCCTCGTTGAAGTTGAAAAAAGTCAATTGTTCAGGCATAGTTAATTAGATTGAACTCCGAACTATTATTTCAAGCAACAATTTTATAACAACTTCAAAGCACGTGATATGCGTCATAGATATTGATTAATTTCTACATAGTAATTGCAGATGATAAAATGCCGACTCTTTAAAATAGTGCCGATTTTTGACGTTTGCTTGTGACCCGTTGCTAGCTAAGCTGTTTCTAGAAGGTCAGTTGATGTTTCGGCTATGCGTGCCGTCGGCTTTGTGTGCTGTCAGCCTTGTTTAAACTCGTTTTCCCCAATGAGGCGTCCTCCAATGACAGCTTGGGTCGTCTAAAACAAAAAACCTATGATTTTTTATGCTCTTAACTTCCATCAATTATGCCAACATGCCTCCCCCTCCTTCCAATCATGTTTTGGGGGAGGAGTTAATTGAACTTGGCTCTAATTCGGATTTCCAGCCAATCAGAACCGAGTCCTTTAGATTCAGCGCTTAGCAAATTTGATTGTTCGGTGGAAGATCTTAACTTCTAGGTTCTCAGGATTTTTTTGTGCTATTTCGTTGAACAGATCTTTCTGTCGACATTATTTTTTGGTAATATTTGAGTCAGAATTATATTTTCAATTTTTTTGCCAATTTTTGCTTCAGAAAACATTTCAGCCCAACAAAGTTTTGTTCGCTGAAAGGTTTTTGAAGTCAAAAGAATTTTTGAGATTGGATGTTTTTTAATAACCTAGTTTTGTATATAGTTTATCCCAATCTGTAGTTTCTATATTTTTCCTGACGTACTTTTTTTTTCGAAAAGTTAGCATATATTTACGTGTAAAAGAACGAGGTGATTTTCACTTAAAAGGGTCTTGGCATTTTTTTCAGGAAAAAGTCTTAAAATGCTCCAATAACTACAGAAGTGCATTCAGACTTATGAATGCATTCATACTTCAAGCTATTTTGCTTAAAGTTTTGCAGCAAAATCAAAAGATTGCCGATTGATTCAATTTCCTTAAGTTTGGTCAGTTTTATCACAAAATGTTACTCATAAATTGCTCTTGAAGCTCGAAGAGCCTTAACCTGATATAATTTGATCAAAATTTATCCTAAACTGTCCTAAAATTTTTAATCAGTTTTTTTTCGGTTACCTTGTTCTATCACCTTTTTCCAACTGTTGACTATGTTTAAGATTAATGAACGTAATGAATACTCTTATATAGGTCTTGCTGTTTTTTTTAGTTTATTATTCAGGAAAAAGTCGTAAATTTTGTTCACGCTCAATTTTGATTTTTTGCGGGCGGTTTGACTTATGAGTTCTTTTTAAGTTCAGTGAATTTTTTATTTTAAAAGGAAGGCAAGCTCCACTATCGAACATCAAAATTTGAAAGGTCACAAAAACGTGATCGACTTTCAATTTAGAAAATGGAAATAAATTATCAGATTTCCCAGCGAAATAAAATTTACCATTGATCCAATTCTCTCAAATTGAGTTAATTTAAATAACAAAGTATCCATCATATTTTTTTCTACAAATTCAAAGAGCTTTAAGGCTTCATAATTTGTTCTTCGAAATTCAAAAGTTGAAGATTTTTGAAAAAAAAAAACCAGTTTCCTTGCGTGCATTACTCTTTTCCAACAGTCATTGGCTATGTTTTTTATTGTTAGTTATGTGAACCTTCACTTTTGTGCAATGGAAGAATAATTTTAACCAAATCGGGTCGGGATTTTTTTCTCGCTTATGCTCTTTTTCTCCCGCTCTTGGGAATTTTAATAGGTTGTTTTGTTCGCTTTTTCCGACGGCGCTGGCATGACGAATTCGGCTTACAGATCCAGTAACCATTTTTTATATTGGCACCTTAGTTTTTCGAGCCTAGCAGCTGAGTTAGTCTTAAGCCAATTTTAAATAATAGCCGATAAAACGATAAAGAATGAATTTTAAAAACTGATAGTTTTGGTATGGATTCAAATGAAAAGCACTCAAACAGAGAGGAAGTTTTGGATTTCATTAACTTGTTCATTAACTCGGAAGGATATTGGGTTGCTGTACATATAGCACAGATTGTTCCGACCATGCTGATTCAAGCAAATAGTTTTTAAAAAAGGAAGTTGAAAGAATATCGAAAAATATTTTCAGTTTTTTTATTTTAATTTCCCAAATTCCTGCTTTAGTTAAGAGCGGCTAAATTATTGGAAAAACAGTCTAAAATGACATAAAACTATTAGTTTTAAAATAAAGATCAAATTGTAGTGAGAGGTCAGCCTCTCATCAGTTTTGTCGAATTTGTCACAAAGCCAAAAATATTCCGACCAATTTTTCTCGACAATTTTTTTCGACGCTAAGAGTTTTTCAGAGTTTATTTTAGAATACAAATCACGATCAAAAGGGCTTTGATCTGATACCAACCACACTTGAACCCCTGCGAGCTTTCCTTAATGTAGTCAAATTTGGCTGGAAAATTAACCGACCCGAATCCAAAGTTGCTTAACTCTTCGAGTGGTCGGAACATTTTTTTTCTATTGAGGTCATAGTAACACACTTTTTTTCTCGAGTACTCTTTTTCTATTGAATCTTTAGGCGATTGAACTTACCACAGCCTGAGAAAGCGCGCTTGTTGTAATTCACTTTCTTGATTGAGGTTTGTTTAGGCATAGGCGAAGTGTAAGAATCGTAGAAGATCTGCTCCTGAGCTGGCTCATATATCTGCTGCTGTGGTTCGTTTTGCTCTCGTCTCCACTGATTCTTCCTGAAGCTTAATCGCTGGGGAAGGATGCGTCGGTCCATGACATCCGGGTCAGATGAGCCACGAGCAGGAATTTGCCTGAATTGTTAAGTTAAGATTAAGTTAAGACTATTTATCCACAAGGGAACGTACCAAAAGACTAGCTATTCAACTCTTCACGGAGAACCGCTGATGCGCACCTGCTTAATAATTACATGCTATTTTGTGGCTGTTTTCTTGGCTGGATAATGTTGCCTAACTCTTAAGCAACGAGCTTATTCAAATTATTAGCAGCATTTGTAGGCAATGCGCCACTAATTGAATGTGTTTATAGAAAAGCAGCAATGCGGTTAGATAACATATTTGAATTCGGTTCGAGAAATTCAGCGTCGAGAAGAACCGATTGGATTTTTTTTTGTTTATTAGTCTAAATTTGAGCAAGTAAGGTGAGCGAGTAGCGATTGTTAGATAAAAATCGGTTCCTTAAGTCGTTTACCGTTTTACTGTCAATTAAAAGTTTTCATGAAAATTTGATAATTTAAAAATAAAATCAGAAACAATTTTTTCCGATTTTGTATTCTTTTTTTTTAAAAGACGACTGGTCAATAATAATCAAATTACTAAGTTGCTAAAATTTCGTCTTTTTTCTCATAACACATCTGGAAAAGGACAAAAATTCGTAGAAACTGAAAAAAAAATGTTTTAATGTATTTTACTTTTATGAAATGGTCTGAATTTTACTTGCTTTTTACACAGCAACCGGTTACTCTTGTTATTTTGTTGTTTTCGATGGCTGGTCATAGAAGTCAGTAACAAGATGAATGTATTAACTTTTGGTGGATACTTTTATCAATCCTAAAAAACGTGTATAATTCAATTAAATACTAAAAAAAAACTTTTTTTTTTGGATCTGTTGAAAATCGCATACCTGATGGGGCCGAGGTTAAGTGAGCGAGGATCCTGTGTGTAATCTCCAGACTCGCTGTCGGTCACCTCGAAGGGCATTCCAGACCCTGGTGTACCGTTTCCACCCAACCGGATGATTTTCTGGGCATGTTGGTTGAGGGTCGCTGAGTTATCTGCTGAGACTATTGGTGTAGTAGTGCTTAGGACCAGCACAGAGGCGAGAAGAAAGAAAAGGATCTGAAAATGATAACATTGTTCTACAACTTATTACAATTACTACTTGTTTTTTTGTCGTCATTAGCCTAATATGACAAATCGTGTTTTAATTTCGGTTTTAAAGGTATTAAAAAGGGGTGAAATTGTAGTGGGTTTGTCTTGTTTTGGGGGGTGAAATAGGAACGTAAAACTAGGCGGTGAAATTATGCGGGGTAGCACACAGTTTTTCTACAGTAGGAGCTTTTTGGTCCCATTTTTCATTTAACTAATGTTTTGTCAGTTGATTTTCTTTCAAGGCATGTTCTTTCGTTTTTTCTTTTTTTTGCCGATTTGAAAAGCTTCTGTAAGGTTTTTTTTTGCTTGTGTTTGCGAAGTCAAGATCAGAAATAAGCCTCGTGTTTTTGGGATTTAAAACCTGATTTCAAAATTAACGCACTATACTGAGTATTTTGAGCTGTTGATGAACGTTCTGTCGCCACTTACTGTAAATGGTTTTGAAAAAGTTTGAGTTAAAAAGTAGATTTTTTTTGCTCCTAACTTGACGAGATAATATTACCTGTATTCTGCTAATTTCCTCCATAGAATTTGAACCGAATGACTCTTCAACTGAAGTTGAATGTTGTTTTCACCGAAATGATTTTTTGCTACTGAATTTGAATATATTTCAGGGCAATTAACCATCATCAATCGCCAAGTCATGGATTCTTAAAGACTGTGTCAAGACAGAATCTAGTATTTACGAGACTAAATGCCTTTTGTAAATCTATATTTCGATATCGGAAACTATTCTATGCAATTTACAAAGAAATTCGTCAATTGAAAAAAAGTCAAGTTTATTTTGTAGTATGTTGCTCCGGGTATAAAATAATCGTTGTATAAAATTATCCTTACTTGAAAAGAAAAAAATATTGAACGCTTTTGATTTTTAAGCGAACGTTTTCCATATTTGGTTTGAGTTGACTTTTAAAATAATGACCTGTTTTGCCATTTGATGGTTTCGTTTTCAGAGACTGACAAAATCAATGCCACCAGTTTTTGACCTCCGTGAATCTTGCAATTAAAATGACGTTAACTGCCGGTTAGTTAGTTTCTGTTGGGCAACTGTCAATTGAATGTCGTTGTTTTGAACTCGTTAAAAACTGCTTTGATTGATCTGTTTCCAACAGTTCAGAGTATAATACAAGGACTTGAGTAAAGATCAGATTTAAGTTGACGTTTTTTTACCTCCAGAGTAAATTGAGTTCTAATTCGAACCAGAATTGCTGATTAATTTGGCAGATTTTATCAAATGCTACTCACTGTCAGTTCGTCAGTGAAGCACGTTTTTATTCTTTGAAACTAAGTTTAATTGATTTTTGTTTGAAATTGCATTTTTATGAAGAAATTAAAAATGCTTCCCACTTTGTATGTAAACTGCGAAAAATAGCTCAAAAACAGATGAAGGCGGAATTTTGTTTTGAAATTTCCTTTTTTGTCAGTTTCCTTATATGAACTCTTAATACGGACTACAAACTCACATCATAAATTTAGTATAGCTCAATGAGTCACCTTTTCGTGACAATCGAACATTTTGTACAGTCATGATTTGAATAACAAGAGAAATTTTTCACAAAGTTGTGCCAGTGTCGAGAAAAACCATTAAGTCTAATTTCAAGCGAATAAAACCAGCGAGCAGGCTTATAATAGATTTCTGTAGAAGAAGGATAAGTCATGAATTTATAAATCCAACCCTGAAAGTTTGATTTTACTGCAGTTAATTTAGTTTGTCGGAAAATTGTTTTGAAATTTCCTTTTTTGTCAGTTTCCTTATATGAACTCTTAATACGGACTACAAACTCACATCATAAATTTAGTATAGCTCAATGAGTCACCTTTTCGTGACAATCGAACATTTTGTACAGTCATGATTTGAATAACAAGAGAAATTTTTCACAAAGTTGTACCAGTGTCGAGAAAAACCATTAAGTCTAATTTCAAGCGAATAAAACCAGCGAGCAGGCTTATAATAGATTTCTGTAGAAGAAGGATAAGTCATGAATTTAAAAATCCAACCCTGAAAGTTTGATTTTACTGCAGTTAATTTAGTTTGTCGGAAAATTGTTTTGAAATTTCCTTTTTTGTCAGTTTCCTTATATGAACTCTTAATACGGACTACAAACTCACATCATAAATTTAGTATAGCTCAATGAGTCACCTTTTCGTGACAATCGAACATTTTGTACAGTCATGATTTGAATAACAAGAGAAATTTTTCACAAAGTTGTGCCAGTGTCGAGAAAAACCATTAAGTCTAATTTCAAGCGAATAAAACCAGCGAGCAGGCTTATAATAGATTTCTGTAGAAGAAGGATAAGTCATGAATTTATAAATCCAACCCTGAAAGTTTGATTTTACTCCAGTTAATTTAGTTTGTCGTTTTCGGTTTCACTATTCATCACTAGTATTTTTTCTTTTAAAAAAAACTTCTTTCTATCCTGCCTAATTTACTATGAATGCCGAGTATGCCAAATTTCTAGGCTTTCATTCAGATCAATTTACCACACCACATACAAAAACTACACTAAGTTCAAAAAAGGTTTTGTTTTGTATTTTTTCAAGATGTTGGTCGGAATATTCTGTGCTATTTGCACCATCCTTCTTTTAATTTAATTTTGGCATTTTTTTTGCTTTCGAAACTTACAGAACTTGTTCTTCACATGCTCAAATTTTCATTCTTGCTCAGTTCTCTAAAAGTTTTAATTTCGATTGGTCTGTAATAAAAGTAACCAGCGTATAATTGTCTCAATTTTTTTTCACGAGTTCTTTGTCAAATTGCCCTGATGTATGAGGAATGAAATAGGTGAATAAGAATAGAAATCACTATAAATTGTTTCCAATCTGGCTAGGCTAATAAGACCAATAACTAGATAAGAATTTTTCAAAAGCAATGTTGGTAGACCGCCATTAGACGACATTTCAGTCCGTTTTCTGGCATCTAGTATTTTTGAACATGGTTTGAAAGAAGAAATTTAGAATATAATGAATTAAAATACAAGCTTTGTATAATGGTACTTAAAATCACGTGTCAATGATAAATAATATGCAGTTATTTGAAAAATAATTTTCTAAGAATTTTACATAATATGCAATTATTTAAAAAATAATTTTAAAAAAAATATTACATTTACATAAAGGTATTAAATTTTTTTAAGATTATTTTGAGGCATTTTTCGAGATTAAAGGAACTTAGATTGTGATTCGATTTAATATCACTACACTACCATTAATTTATTTAGTTTAGCTTGATTTGCTTTTTAAATAAAACTCGAAAACACATCTGTTAGAACTTCTATACCCTGTTAAGTATGACTCTTATTCGAGCTCTTAGATCATATTTGTTTAAGTTATCTATATTTGTTATGAGTTTCTGGGTGCTTTTTAGTAATTGGAAATTTTTTTTCTAGTACCTGAGTTATGTACTCTTTTTGATTATTTGAGGAACATTCGTTTCTGATCGCAATAAAGTTTAAGCAATTCAGAGTGTTGTAAAAACTTGTATAGTAAAAAGAGCATATATTGACAATTTTGTATAAGTTTGACAAAAAATTTAACTTGTATATTGAGAGCAGCCGATTCGCTTTTCAGATTAAAATCTGCTTATGCGTCATGACATCCGAGTCTAACAGAGAAGTCTCTTCGACTGGAGATCTATCCGACTTCGAGTACGAATCATCAGGTATTGTGTGTTTTAATTTCCATTACAAGTTCAACAAGGTTACCGTTTGAGAAATTTCATAAGACTACCGGATTATGAAAGTTGGGATCCTGAGTACAAAACGTAGAATATTTCGTTCACAAAACATTTTTTTCGTTAGTTTTTGAATTCAATATTATTTGAAGATCCTTATTTTTTTTTGGTCAGCTAATTTTCAAAAGCAAGTCACTTTTGGTACATTTTGGGAAAAATTATAGGTTTTTGGCAAAAAATTGAAGTTTTTGATGAAAAAACGCTTTGGGGTATAGAAATGGGCAGCAGTGAATGGACAAATAACTTGAGTGATTCGTAAATTGCTTCTTCTCTTTGCAGTGTACGACCCAATGGGAGGATCTTCAAATCAATTTGGATCCCATCTAACTCAGCAAGCTGCAGATCCCTTTTCACTAGGCCCCTCATTGGGCTCAAAAATGAATGTGCCCGACACGATAGCGTTGCTGAGAGACGATGAAATGCAAAATTACAGACTGTCAGATAAAATGTTCTCAGCAAATCAGGTTAATTTTTTGAACCATTTACCCTGAAGTCTTTTTAGACAATTTATTTATGAGAAGGGCAAGGATTACATGCGAGTTCTAGAGCGCTTTACGGAGAACCGATTTTGTTACATAAATTGAGATCTGCATGCGGTTTTTGTTACCTTGAAGAAAAGTTGTCAGCTGGCGTTCAGAATCATATGGAATTGGTGTTGTTCTAATGGTCGATCCAAGTAACTCCTTCAATAATCTTATTACATGAGCGAGCGGTACTTCTCATTAATTATTCAGAATAGCTCGCTTTCACTAGTTAGCTCGCTTGTTTTCTTGCCTCAGTGCTAACCGTAAGATTGATGGTGAAAGAGTTCTTTAAAAGCAAGGATTTGCCGAAATTATGTCGTTGTCCGTGACTTGTGGTTTTAACGCTTGTCCGTGACTTATGGGGCGCCAAAATTATGTCGTTGTCCGTGAATGTGGTTACTGAAATACAATCCCGGATCACTAGAAGCTGCCTGGCCATTATTCTTTCCTGTAAAATTTGATGAGACCATGTAATTTGTTGATGCAGTATAAGTTTCTCAGGAGCTGTTGAACGAACGTGCTGCTCTTGATTGGGAACTACAACAGCATCAGGCTGATTGTGGTCGACAGATTCGACCCAGTGACGCGTACGCTCCTTTTCGTCTATTGTTAGTTGTGGAGAGATTCGAGTTAAACCACTTTCCTCAGCATTCTCGCTGATTTCCGATAACTCATCTTCTAACTCAAGCCCTTTCAAATCAATTTCTGCCAGTTTTTTCCTGTGTTCTTCAGCCAATTCTTCCAACTCTAAACTGCTTTGCGGTATAACGACTAGCTTTCTGAGAACCCGATTGCTGATGTCGGCTGCTTCGGTGTGACAACTTAGAGCGGGTATCTGTTTTATGCGACTGTGGTTTTTCATTTTTTTCGGAATGATGAGAAATTTTTGAGCTGCTATCTATGTTGTCCTGCTCTTTTACTGCCTCAAAACTTGTTTTTATATGTGATAGCTTCCCGGAAAACTTTATTCTTGCTTTGAGTCAACTTATGAAGCCACATTTCCTGTGCCGGTATCAATTCGTCGGGGTTGGCACTTTTTGCAGCCATATCAATCAACTCATTATTTACCTCGACCGCTAGTTCCTACATTTTTCATTATAGGTATCAATTTTTGAGCAACGACTCTGACTCTATGTGTTCCAAAATTATTTCGTGGCATTTATAAAGGTCGTTTTCGAGATTGCTACGTTTCTCAAACAACTTCTTAATTTTCTTCTGAAACTTAACTTCCATGCTCATTAATTTCAGAAATAAACGACTCAGAAAATACTTTATTTTCACCCAAGTAAATCCACAAAATACTCTAATACATCAATAACTTACAAGGGGGAGTAACTTGAAGTTTTAACGCTTTAAGTATATTGTGAATCGA